GAATCACGGAATTTTCAGAGTTGGAAGGGACCTCTAGAGATCATCTAGTCCAACTTTCCTGATAAAGGAGGATTGTCTAGAGCACATTACTCAGGACTGCATCCAGGCGGTTCTTGAAAATCTCCAGAGAAGGGGACTCCACAACCTCCCTGGGCAGCCTGTGCCAGTGCTCTCTCACCCTAATGGTAAAGAAGTTTTTTTCTTGTGTTTGAATGGAACTTCCTATGTTCCAACTTGTGCCCATTGTCCCTTGTCCTGTCACTGGGAACGACTGAAAAGAGCCTGGCTCCATCTCCCTTCAACCCACCCTTTAGATACTGCAATAATAAGGTCTCCCCTCATCTCCAGAGAGTCCCAGCTCTCTCAGCCTTTCCTCATAAGGGAGATGCTCCAATCCCTCAGTCATCTTAACTGCTCTATGCTGGACTCTCTCCAGTAGTTCCCTGTCTCTCTTGAACTGGGGAGCCCAGAACTGGACACAGTATTCCAGTTGTGGCCTCACCAGTGCCAAGTAGAGGAGGAGAATGACGTCCCGCGACCTACTGGCCACACTCTTCCCTATGCAGCCCAGGATTCCACTGGCCTTCCTGGCAGCAAGGACACATTGCTGGCTCATGGATAATTTACTATCTACCAGGACCCCCAGATCCCTCTCCTCAGAACTGCTTCCCAACAGGTCCACCCCTAACCTATACTGCTGCTTAGCATTCTTCCTCCCCAGGTGCAGGACCCTGCACTTGCTTATGTTGAACCTCATTAGGTTCCTATCTGCCCAGGTCTCCAGCCTGTTCAGGTCATGCTGGATGGCAGCGCGGCCCTCTGGAGTGTCAGCCACTCCTCCCAGCTTAGTATCATCAGTGAATTTGCTGAGGATACACTCTGTCCCCTCATCCAGGTCATTGATGAATATATTGAACAAGATTGGACTGAGTATTGACCCCTGGGGGACACCACTGGTTACAGGCCTCCAACTCGACACTGCTCCATTAACCACAATCCTCTGAGTTCTGTCACACAGCCAGCTCTCAATCCACCTCGCTGTCTCCTAATTCAAAGATTAAAAATATTTTGTGAAATACTTATCAACTGCATGCTAGAGGTGTTTAATGAGAAAAAATAGTAAGCCTTACACATTAAAATTAGCAAGGCAGGTACAGGAGGATGTAATAATATTGACCCAGGTGTCAGAAGGAATTGAACTCCATAGGACTCATTGCTAACTTCCTTTTTAAAAGAAAAAAAAAACAACAACTTCATATTCTGAGAAATGAGATGTAAGGGTTAGTTTCATAATGAGGTGTAAGGGTTAGTTTTGATTTGGTTTGATTTTGGTTTTTTTTAGCAATCATCTTCATCTGGAAAAATACTTGGGTCATAGCTTCTACTCATGTAATACTTGAAGATGAAATGAGTAGATTTTAGGTATAACTAGGGATGTACTTTTCCTTCTACGTGAAGAGGAAATCAAAAGATTATTCTCAAGATGCATAGTATGTATATAGTTGCTCTGAATTTTCCTCTTACGGTATTTCTAAAACACAGCCAAATCAGAATAGGTTATGCTTCAAATCCACCTGCACATCATTATGACCAACATTGTATCTTTCAGCTTTGGCATTCCACCAATTTCAAACTTTGAACATCTTTTGTTCCTTTACTTTCTATATTATGTTTTGATTAACCTTTATGGGTCTGTCTGTCATCTTTTTCTTTTTTGTTTGAATTATTTTTTATTAAATCAATTTACCTAGTCTGACATAAAACTCAGGATTCTTCAAGTTAATTCCAGCACTTTAAAAAATAGCTACAGCAGTTATCCTCCAGTTCTTCAGCATAGTGGCTGATTTTAATAAGAAATTCCATGTTATTGAGTTTTAGAATCTCTTAAACTAACTTTCTCATTTAATTTTTTAAGTTAATATCACTGTGAGCATTTAGCGTGATCATTTCCATAAAAGCTATCTGAAATGACACTGCAGTCAGTTCACTTCAGTGGTTTTGATTGCTTCCAGTACTAACTTAGCTACACAGCATTTTAGGTATACCCATAATGCTGTTGGAGAGACGACTGGATCCCATTTAGGCATAGCAAAGCTAATTTATGTATAGCTTGATGGCTGCAGTGTTGATATTACAACATATGATTAGCACAAACTAGTGCACAAATAAGCATTCGTATTCCCACCTAGACTTGGATAAGTTATGCTGAAAATCCATGTTAAGCTTTCACTGTTCTTACTATCAAACTAGTTAAACATGAGTGAGGTTTGCCTATTGGTACTGAAAATCACACATTCTGTCAGACATGTTGACTTACCATTTTCCTTTGTGTGCTCTAGATCTAGTTATTCCAAGAAACAGTCAGTAACACAGTGAGAAATATGTAGTATGATGCATCATTTGAATAACAGATACACACGCAGCTGGAAACATTGCTAGTGATGATTTCTCTTCAATTTCTCATTTTCCTGAACTTTCATACATATCTGCTGTCATATTTGTTGAACTTGGCAAAATAATAAAGATTATAGTTCAGAAAAAAAGTATATTTTAAGACATAAAATTGGGAGGAAGTGAAACAAAAAGCTAGTTGTTGTTCATTAAATCATACCTATTGAATGAAGAATAATTACAACTGATTAAATGCCATTTTCATAACGCACTGGAGGTTTTTTAATGGATATCCTAGCCACTGTGGAAAGTATGAACCAGGAGCTACTTTCACAGTTTCATTTTTGCCACTCTTTTTTTTTCTTCTTTTCCCTGCATTTTGTTGTATGTGCTGCCTACTGCATATTTGCTGGCTTACATTCATATAGCTTTCTTTTGCCTAGATATCTCAAGAGCTACTCTATCTTCGTTCTGTATTTTATGTGTTCTGTTCTGTGCTTTATGGAAAAGTTTACAAGAGTACTACTTGCTCACCTGTAAGTTCCATGTACAGTAAGAATCTCACCTTTTCACTCCCAAGTTATTTTCTCCGGTTATGGCATCTGCTTCCTTAACTGGAGGAACGGGACAAAGGGACTCCAAGAAGGAATGTATTTGTGTGTTCGTTATTTGCCTATATGTACATCCTGACTGTTGAATTAGCATTCTTATGACTGACTTCAGAAATACAGAATTTCTGTTTCTTGAATGGACTGATCTGGATTTGGTTTCTTATTCTCTGCTACTTTAAGAAATTAAAAAACTACTTTTACTCACTGAAATTCAAATGCTAAAAATTGCCATTCCAGTGTAGGTTTTATATCCCCAAATGCAAATGTCAACTAAAGAAAGCAAAGAATAAGTAAGATCCCTTTTTTGCCTTCATATGGGAAGCTAAGGGGCTTTTTTTACTGTTTAAATTCTTCCCTTCTAATTCTTTCTTCACATTAAACTCACCTATACTTGTGTCTTTTATGGATGCTTTCCCAGTTTAAAGTACATAATGGTACTTATACTATCATCATCCTCATCAAATATAGACATTTCACAGACTTAAAATTTCACAGGCAGTGCCAAAGCACTGGATCTTCTCTTCTCTTTTATTCATGCTTCTCCATTGACTCTAATGAAGTTGGACTAGGTGATAAGGTTAAACATGGACATCATGCTTTTATCCTATCTATTCCTATAGAGTTCCTTCCTTACAAATATATTTCAAATTAAATATGACAGGTGCACTGCCAACATTTTTCTTTCACAGATTATCAGCAAAGTAAATTCTGAATGGAAAGGATTTCTCTATTTTCCATGTATCTTTAAAAGAGCCATGCTTGGACTCTTCGCATTATACATAGTAGTGTAGGTATTCCCTTCTCATGATTTTAAAAGAGAGTTATAAAATAGAGTCCTGTTCCATTATACTTCTGCTACTGCTCTGAGAGGTAATTATTAGCTTCTGAAAATTATTTTGCAGAGATAGATATTAGCCACAAATGTTGATTGGTATTTGATTGTCTCTTTAGCAATGCCATTATCCAAGGCTGATTTTGCAAACCACTACAGTAATTCATGATAAGTAAATGCCTCTTGAGAATTTATCTGTCAGTTGTTTCCCATAGCTTATGTATTTTGTGCTTACTCATCTTATGGGAGAGACTGTGCTGTAAAAGAGTGGAGCACTAAGGTAATCATGATAACTTCTGATGAATGTGTGCTGGTGAATGTTATCTATCACTTTATATTATTTGAACAAACCCAGAGAATTGTTTTCCCTTGATGCTATATTTTTCACCTGTCTTCTACTGTCACTCCACATTTTTACTTTCCAGTGCAGCAGTTGTGAATAGCTGTACGCTTTTGGTCCATGAAGAAAAATCTTTTTTTGAACAAAAAGAGTTATTTCTTTGGGGAAAGGCTTCATATGTTTGGTATCTTAAAAAAAACCCAAACAGACAAGTCCATACTAAAAAAATCCACCAAGAACGACTATTAATATTGATACCAAAGAGAAAAATAATAATTAAAAAAACCCAACACGTCCCCCGCCCAAACCAAACACCACCATCACCCCCCAAAAACCACCAAAGAACACCCCCAAAACACATTCTAAGGTATTTGTAGGAAGATATTTTCCACCATTTTGATGTATTAATTGATTTACATACTTACTTTTTTTTTTGTGTGTCTAAAAGTACAGAAAGGTTTGGTAAATTAGACTGTACAAATACAAAGAGGACACATTTTAAGCAAGTGATATTCTCAGCTGTGGCAAAACTATGTAGTAATTATGTAGTAACTCAAAAGACAACCATATATGCTACATTCCTTGATGGTTCCGGTGGGCTTAAAAGAGTAAAGAGTATTTTATAGTGTAGAAAAAGGATTAAAAAGTGGATGAAGATGAAAAAAATAACTAAAAGCAGAAACCAGGCAACTGTGATACATTACCGGCAATAAAAATTGTTCCGTGGTTATTCACGGAAGCTAGCATTAAGTGCCTCAAATAATAAAATAGCTCCCAATCTACTCAAACCCATTTGTATTTTACATAAGGATAAGTTTTTACCTACCAACTCCAGCCATCTCCGGAATACTGGCGGTGTACATGTCCTTGGTGAATTTTGGTTCATTGTCATTGATATCGTGGATTTTAATGATAAATTCAGACTCTGGCTCCACTTGTCTTCCAGTTTTTCTGTCTATAGCCTTGGCTCGTAGCACATACAGGGACTTTTCTTCTCTGTCCAATTTCTTTGCAGCATGAATATCTCCTGTATTTTCATCTATAATGAACAGACTGCCAGCCCCATCTCCTGTTAATATGTATTTTAAATTTCCATCTCCTTTATCTTGGTCAGTGTGTAGCTTCAGGGAGGCAGAAAAGAAGAATTCTATAAATATATGTATTGTTATTACAGACCAAATCATTCAGCATATATGAATAAGTCTGTACAATCTTGACTATAATTGGGGTCAGTAGTGGTTATCTTCTGTTTCACTGTTGGAAAAATTGCAAATTTGAGACTCAGTCATCCACAAAAAATAGCTCTAAACAAACTCATAAAGACATATGTAGAAGATATTGGAGTAGTATTTAAAATTACTAACTTGAAACAAAAAATTATATTTCTTTGAATAGTCTGTCCAGAAACTACCAGAATTCTCCTTTTTGAAGATGACAGGTGGTGTAAAACTCCCAAGTTTCTATTTGCAAAATAATACTTGTCTTCCCATTTATTGATTGCTAATAAGGCAACCTGTTATCTTGTAACAACATAGAAGAAATGGGTTTTAAGGATTACAGCTTCTGAACTTCCCAAAATCACCTATAAATGTTCTGATTTAAGCAACTTGTGTTTCTAGCTGTATTCTTTTTTTTATTTTTATTTTTCCTTTAGGAACATCTCACTTCAGTTAATTACTTCCTTCCTTCTACTCCGCTCCACACAGGAGAAATAATTTTCAAGAACACTAGGAGGTAAATTTTCAAAGCATCAAGTGGGGTTTAACAGTCCTTTTCCTACTACACCTCTTCATAAGAGTTCAAAACTGTACCCTGTGAACTTAACAGGCACTGATTAGTTTGCCATATAACACCATTATGAAAAAGTGCCTAAAACCAAAGCCAAAGCAAGCCATTGAAGCTGACACAGGCACTAGAAATTCTCACATAATACTCCTTTTCTGAAGTCTGTTTCTCTAATTTAATTTACAGAGGCACACAGTTCTTTTTTATGAGCATCTGCAGTATATTTTCTTCAGATATATGCTTACAGTCATATCTGGCCACAGATCAGTCACCTGAGTGTTTTTCAAATATGGACAGAAAGAATATTCTCACAGCATTTTTTTTTTTTATTTTATTTCTCTGAGTAGAAAAATATAGTACATTATCCAGCTGGGAAAATATTGTTCAGTATCAGTAAAGGTGTTGCTCTAGACAGCCATTAGAGCCAAATAAGTTATTTTATGCCACTTCTTTTCTTGTTTCAGTGTTTCTGCCACTGTTTATCTCCATGTTTCTTAGGTGAATCATTACATCTTTTTATTACTCCACCTGTATGAGGGGTGATTGTGGTGGATTTTGTTTAATCTCTTCACTTTGTTTTTTTCCTCTAGTCTAGCACTGTATCCTAACACTAGTTACCAAATGTGATCTGATTATTGAAATGGTCTTCTAAAGGTAAGACTGGATGAGATGACTGTCCTAACATTTTTAGCACTTAATGTATTCAATGTATATCTGTAATTAGTATCTGTGAAAAATCTTAAGGGTTGTATACAATGAGTTGAAAGAATTATATACAACATGCACACAGCACTCAAAAAAACCCCCTCTGTCAACTTGCCACCACTACAGGTAACACAGAGAAAATAAACTTAAGTATTGTATGGGTAACTTGACACAGAATGTATGACATTATGTAATGAATACACAAAATTCATTAAAAATATTTTATTAGTATTTTTATATTTGATCTTATTTTCATATTTGCTTTTTATTTTCAGGGGAAAAAAAGAGTAGAATTATTTGTATGTCAAGTACAAAATATAATGTATTTCTTTTGGTCAGATGATTCTGTCTTGTGCCACACAGGACAATTTACTCTCCCCAAGAAACAGTGCACATTCATTCTTGTTCAGATATTCCTCACCTCGTGGCATAATTATAACTTTCTCCTTTTGTCTTGAGTTATAAGCTTTTTAAAATATGCTAAATAAGAATCAGATCTTGGGAGCGATGACTAGCACCTGAAACTAGTTTTCTCATAAAGACAGACCTGCATCTTTTCGAGTCTTTAAAATGTCCAAGTACCTGTTACAACGTCATATCTTGTTCAGGCCTCCTTAATATCCTCAGCCAGCCAGCCACGGAGCATCCAGGGCAAGAGTTATGTCTGGGAACTCAGTGAGGGATCAATCCCATGGGTCAGAAGGAGGGAAATCGCTTAACATAAGGCATTAGGGAGGTTGGAGCCTCCATGAAGCTAAAATCCTTTCTCAACACTCAACATAAGGAAGAACTTCTCGATTATCACACAATAAATCGTCTGTGATTAATCAGTAATTTGTTAAACTGTTTACAGTACTAACATTAGTCATATTATTGCTTACATTAGACATGTAGGTCCTCAAATTTGAGTAGCTGCACATTCTGTCCTGGTTTTACAGTCACATTTTGCATTTTTTAAATAAATTCCATCAGTCTCCCTAGGGCTTCTGTTTTTTTCCTGCACGTGTGTGTACTCCAACACATTTTGCTGTTGATACGAATTTATTTAACTTGCTTATTGTGATATAAATTAAACCAGACGCTGGCCCACAGGTATTATCTCCATAGCAGCCTGCCTGGAAGATTGCCAAGAAAGAGATTTAACTTACAAGAGCCCCAGTGTTTAATTGTCAGGACTGCTGTGAACGGGAAGAATGGAGTATGTACAGAGACACTAGAAGTTTCCCACTTTAAAAACAAGCAGTCAATACTGAAATAAAATATCACACAGTTCTGAATGGGAAAATAAGGAGTAGAGGTTAGAATGAGATTTTTATATTGTTTGTCTTGATTTAGAACAGAAAACAAAATTCTTAGTTTGAATAGGAATATATTGTATATGTGGAATTGTATCAGATATAATAAGTACATAATATGCATTTTATTGGAAATTATATCTGGAATGTTATTTTAATATCATTTTATTTGAAAGTGTGGTAATAATGTAGTTCATATTTGAAAACCTGCTAAATGCTTTTCCCAGACAGTTCTGCTACCTAAAGAGTCTTTCAGAGGCTATAAACTGACTTAAAGTTAGCACTTTACTTACTAAGATCACAAATTTTGCTATCTGAAATTTTTTATTCCTACAAAGTCTTTCTAGACTTGGAGAGTTTATCATCTGCTGAAAAGAGGTCCTATATGCTAGAAGAAGACAGATGCAGATGAGTAGAAGAGATCCAGGCGGTGAATGTAAATAGTGTTAACTTGCCAACCTCATTTTGATTGCACATATGAGTAACTCTGCTGGTAATCCACAGTCAACAACCTCTTAAGACGGGGCGACAATGAACAAGTCATCGCAGCAGTGATCTTTTCTGCACTAACAAGTGGTCCTGGAAAAGAGTCACATCTGCCCATTGCCATTCCCTTACCGTGCTCTTCAACTATACATAGATCCTCAGAGAATAGGTTAATTTATTTCATCTGTCTGTTCAAACTCTCGACAAAGATATCAGGTAGCTCAAACGGTGATAGGTGTTTTAAGCTTCCTACTTATCTCATGCTTCTACCAAATGATAAACAAAATATTCAATCATGATAAATTTGGGAATAGAATCTGATTTCCTAGCAATGAAGCATTCCACCTCCTATTGCCAATTTACTATTCACAAGATCACTTGAAGTACAGTTGTAAACTACCACTTATTCTACATGTAACATTTTCTAATTCTTGTGTATTTTTTGTTTTGCACTTTGCATTTGAGGAATCTTCATTAATCTGTGAAGTAATTTTACAACATCATAGTTTGTGAAAATAAAATGGGACCGTTTTCATATTTAAGAATGAATAAGTAAAGCAAAACATCATCCAGCATCTTACGGAAATAAAATACTGGTTGTGTAAAAGAGAACAATGAAACTACTCTCTCACCATATTAGAGTTATATAATTACAAAATTTGCTTTTAATTTGTGAGACAGAGTAACTCCTCATAAGTTTGTAAATGTTTATGTAAAATAAGAATAAGGACAGTTAATTTTTTAAAAAGATATTGCAATTTAATTTTGACCAATCTATATTGTGTTTCTTTATGACTGTTAACCTTCTATAAACTGATTAAATATTTCGAATTTATGATATAAAATATTATTTCAGCTTTTCAAATTTCAGGTGTTCTACAGAGAGCCTGCAGGAAATCAGATGCAAAACTGTGGTGTGTTATAAGAAGTTTACAAAATATCATGCCCTTTATTCACTAAAGGCAAGGAACAAGAACAGACAAAATTTCAAAATCCTATTTCCAGTTATAGTAAATACCTTTACATACAAAATATTTTATGGATTTTTTTTTTTTTTAATTAGTAAACTGTTTATGTGTATGAAGGAGGCTCAGATATTCAAACTGGAAAAAAAAAGTATTCATACATTTGATCTGAAGTAATCTTTGACTGTTGTAATTTCCCTGTGAGTCTTACAGACTCAGCAGGTCTGGGGACGTCCACCATTTACTGTCAACAGAAAGTCATTCGAGTTGAAATACTTTGTTTTGGTTTTTGTTTTTTTTTTTTGTTTTTTTTTTTTTTTACTTTATGCGATCCTTTTTCTCTATTCGAGGTGGGGTAGGTTAGCAAGCAAAAACTCTGTATGGATGCAAAATTAGTTTGTCAAATGTGTCCTTTCTCATATAAGAAATTGTTCATTCTGAAATTTCTATGAAGAGCGGGCAGGTCAGAGGAGAACCATGAAATATTTTGGTAAAGCAAAGCAAACAAACAAACAAACCAACCTCCAAACCAGACAATATATCAGATTACTCAGCATATAGTGGCTACACCAATAGTAAATGCCATCCTCATTCCATTTCATATCCAGCATCAATTCATCTAAAACACATTGGAATGAAGATACAACTTAGAAGATGCGCTGCTGAGTATCTTGATTTCTTAATATTCTTCTGCATGCATTACTTTTTCTGCAGTCTTTCCTGCAGCTGGCTAAACATGTTCTCAACACAACTTTTCCTGAGGATCATCAGAGATAAAGACATTGGTAATGGTTATGGGAGTGACAACTAGCTATTTCTGTAACAATGTATGTCTTATAAACATATTTATAAATGCTCATTCTTATTTCTTTATTTACATAGGAA